GCAACATATCAGATGGACTAGAAGAGATCTATCGGGACAAGTTACTCCCTATAGAGGAATACTATGAGTAAATACTTGAGTAGTGTTGGAAACTAACATCAACATCTTCAGCTTCCACCGCTTCTATTCGGCCCCTCTAACACCAGCTGACTTCAATGCTAAACCAATGGTGATGTTAATAGGACAGTAATGGCTTCTAACTAATCCTGGGGGATGGTGATCATTAGGTATTCTACTGGAAAGACTACATTCATTAGACACCTCTTAGAAAGGGACTATCCTGGTATGAGGATTGGACCAGAGCCTACTACTGACAAGTAATAAATCATTAACACTCATACACGGGTTACATTCATACAAGGTTCTGCTGTATTATGGATAGCAGCAGCTCTGGTGGAGGAGATCATGTTATACCTGGTACTATACACTAATGATCATTTAACCACCACAACCACTATTAACAACATCATTATTAGGCAACGCATTGGTAGTGGACCGGACACTACCATTCACACAGCTCAGTCAGTTTGGTAATGGTTTTATGAATCGATTTGAAGCATCGATGTGAGCAAGTAGCAGCTAAGGGGATCTGCCTGCCCAGGGTCATAATTCAGGATGGAGGGATCACCAGTACTACAGGGTGTGTCATTCATTGATACACCCGGTATTCTATCAGGGGAGAAACAGAGATTGCAAAGAGGTTATGACTTTGAAGGTAATCACAATTTGTGATATCTCATGTATTCGGTAATGGAAGGTATTGTTTGTAGGTGTTATCAACTGGTTTGCTGATAGAGTAGATATGATATTACTACTTTTTGATGCTCATAAGCTGGATATATCTGATGAATTCCGTCGATGTATTCTAGCATGTGGTCAGAATGAGAATAAAATAAGGATTGTTCTCAACAAGAGCGATATGGTAATACTGCTGTAAGCGTCATCCTTTGCAATATTGGGATGGCGCTACTCATATCAGTTGGAGGTGCTGCTGTTGGTAATGTAGGGTCATTAGGTCACTACTCAGCAGCTTATGCGGGTGTATGGTGCTCTTATGTGGTCCCTTGGTAAGGTTATAAATACACCTGAGGTGATGATGATCATGCTTATTCTACTGCTCTTGTAGTGTTTACCTCCTTAGACATCGAGAGTTTTCATCGGATCATTTTGGGATGAGAAACTCAACAACGATGAGCAACGGAGTCTTTTTGAGAATGAAGAATCCGATCTATATGCAGACATAGCGAAGTTACCTGAAGAGGCTGCCCTCAGGAAACTGAATGATCTTATTAAACGAGCAAGGTAGTAAGTAGTCGGTGTTCTGGGTCATACTCAAATACCAACAATATAGATTAGCGAAGACACATGCCTGTCTGATGACATATATCAAACATGAGATGCCCTCAATGTTTGGGAAAAACTCGAAGAAACGTGAGCTTATTGAGCATCTAGATGTGGTCTATGAGCAAGTTTCCAAGAAGTAGTACTATGCAAGGATAGTAGATGTATGCAGCTGAATATTATACAGATATAACCTCCCTATTGGGGATTTCCCTTCAGTGGATTACATGCGTAAAGAACTGGCACACTACGATTTCCGTAATATGTCACTACAGTCGATCCCATCACCTGCCAGGGGCTTAGATAAGATCAAGAAGCCTCGAAGCCTAGAGCCTATTGATGATGTGTTATCCAATGACATACCCGCATTGCTCAAGATGATACCTAAAGAACGTGATGCTAAGGAGCTGCCTGACATATTTAAAGGAGGCATTGCTAATGTAACCTCTAGTATATCCAAATCTCCTTCATTCTGCCCATACCATACTCTACTCAGCAGCCTGGTAAGGGGGCAGCATCTCCGTGGGCTGACGACTTTGGTGTTGCAACTTGGTTATCGAGCCCTCCTGATATATCAGAGTAAGTATCACCAACAGCAGTATCAGCAGTAGTTATGCTTTCATGGCTGGATATTCCTAGGTATACAACATTGTTTGAGTCTCTTGGTCCGGATCCACTCGATGGTAAGCTATCTGGTGCTATAGCTAAACAGGAGATGCTTAAGAGTAGTATGTGCTCTCCTCTCCTATATGTGGATCTTTCATCCTTCAGGTAAACTCCCATCTGGAGTATTACATAGAGTATGGAATTTAGCAGATGTTGATCGCGATGGAAAGTTAGACATCTATGAATTTGCTCTCGCTATGCATTTCGTACGTATGCGTTTAGATGGTCATACACTGCCACATGTAATAACCTTACTGATAACTTAGCATAAGCATGTGTCTCTCTAGGACCTACCAGAGAATATGATCCCGAAGTAGACAATACTCGTAATTACTACACAACGGTAGTCACTTTCCAATACCAGAGATCGTTGTGTTGTGCTTACCTACTGTAACAGGGGATCATGGAAATACACTAGTGGTTATTAGACGTATACCACTTAGGAGCTGTCGTATATTTTTTAGTGTGGTCTAAATCACTCTGATATTAGGACCAGATATATTTGTTATTGGTGATGGAAAACATCAGTGTTAAGTGTGTTACGCATACTTTATATCCACGAATCCTCTCGTCTACCTGTAGTACATGTCACAATTTGAGAATCGATATACTTATGAAATTCTCTGGCTATTGTGCGCCCCAACTCTTGGAGGACGCTAATCCCTTTCTTACACCACATTCTGAAGCTATCAACATTCTGACTCGAATGACACCGAGTACGATCCTCGAGACATGCATTACTGCGGAGCATGTGTTTTCTTCGGCAGCAAGCACACAACACTCGAAAGGCAGCATACCCTGGATATCAAACCCACATTGGTTACAATGATACTAGCTACGTCTCCTCATCTCGAAGGTCAAGTATTATTCACGTAAACACAACACGTCTCATGTATTAAAAAGTCAAGGAAAATGCACAGGAAAAGTAGTCCATTGTGATACCCGTGACTGAAAATCGATTATTAAACTCAAACTACAAAAGACTTTTTGGCTCCATTCGTCCTGTTACATGAAGCGCAGAAAAAGTGAAGGCTTATTACAAGTATCCATCCGAAAACCATTACAACACTACTATCGCAATTCCGGTGTACCATCCACTGCTCCATCCATTACTTCCCATACTCTGGTGTATCGCAACACCCATCTTTTCGAACAAGAGTTCTCTTAGCACTTGTGTTCGGATGATACCTTTCCGTCTCAGAAGACGTACCATTAGCTACACTAATGGTATCACCGCAACAAGGTTCGGGAGCTTCTCCTATCCTCACCCTCACATTACCGAATATAAAATGCCCAATCACTAGACCAGCACATAGACAAAGGAATAGCTCGCAACTGTAAGTCATGACTACTAACATAGCGAGATATGCTATTGATATGCTCAACCCGAAAGCAAGAGAGCCGACAATGGCATGGAGCCATGTATGAGTGATATTGTGGAGATAACGGCGCCTAGCCCATAAGATACCTTCTACGAGCATACCTAGGAATACTACGCCAATACATCCAAGGGCGAACTTCCATGCTGTATCAAGTACCCAAGAGGAGGTAAAGAGAATAACACACTGTGTAGTAGGACCCCTCATCCAATTGAATCCATCCATGAACATAGCCGTAGAGCCAGTACAGAAAGCATTGGGATCAGGAGTAGGCGACACAGGAGACCCAACATTACCACCAGCTGGTTTCAGTGCACATTCAACGCCACAAGTCTTATGATGAATACCATCATTTGTAGGACATAACGCATTGGTTGCTTTATCCCAACATACAGGCATCTCATTATCATTATCACAGGTATTAGCCATACATTGCATCCAACAAAATATCTCCCCAGCCTTGCATTCTGCAGCTAAAAGGAAAGCATGAGAGAATAGAGTACTGGTCGTAGTAGCGATGTACCTAATCTCCTCTTGGAAAAGGCTACCTCATCCGAATCGTTATCATCTGGCATCATACCTGCCTGTGCCCATTGTTTGAAAGTGACAGAGTCGTTGAGAAGAGGACTCCTATAATCAGGTGGTAGCAAAAACATTCGTCCAAATACCAGTCTAGCAGGGTTGTTGGACTCAGTCGTCTTCATACGTACAACATGAGGGAGAGGTCTAACCGATGGAGTGGTGCCTGAATGATGGACAATTATCAATACAAATAGTAGGCCTCTAACATCACCAATGAAACCTCTGAGAGTATTGCCCATCAATACAACTACTCTCATCCCGCTCTTGCCGCCGCCGCCCTCATTCTTGACATCATCACAATCATCTAATAGAGGTATATTCAATGGTACCTAAAGAGATGATGTTTATTGTACTTAGGATAATGAGACGACCTGTTTGTCAGTGAGACCATCCTCATAATACAAGTTGGAGTCTCCAGGAGGTAATACAAGCAATAGGAATGCTCCCTGGTCAATGTGTAGTGTCAGTGTATCATCAAATATCTCCTATAATCACGTTCCATTCCATCTTGCATGAGTAGTAGTGGTTCC